AAAGCTTAGTCATTCAACAAATATTGAGCGAGTGGACATCTTGAGCACTAAATGCAGTGGTGATAAGGTGATGTCACTGCTCTCACGGAGCACACGTTCTAGAGAACTGACACTAACCAAGTACCACACAGAGAACTCCACAGGCAAATTCCAAGCAGTGATCAGTACTGTGAAGAAAATGAACAAGGTTAAGGGACGGAGAGGAGGGTGGGTGCATGGCCTCTTCAGACAGGCTGGCCAGGGAGGGCTTTCTGAGGAGGTGACATTTGGGCAGAGGTGGCAGTGGCTTGTACTTTATTTCCCTGGTCCAATCCTGACCGTGTGCCCAGCTCCTAAGTCCACTGATAACTCGTTCTGAGACTCTGTGCTCTCCTCTTTCCACAGCTCGAGAGACGGCCACCTGCTGCACACCCATGCCTGGGTCTGGAGTTTGGAAACCTGCCTTGTGCCCAGGTCTTCCAGAAGGGGGCAGTCCCCTCTGGGGACTCCAGCCAGGGCTCTCCTACACTCAGAGCCCTGGTTCAGCAGCTAGCCCTGCTCCCTCGTGGCCGACTTCCAGATGCTGCCCGAATGCCTCTCTATCACCGCTCATGGTTCCTGCCACAACGCCCACTGCTCTTCCTTCTTGGACCTCCCTTCCCAAAGCTGTCAGCTACTTTCTCTGCTGTGCTGGGGGACCCTCGAAGCTAGGTCCCTATCTCATATTTAGCAGAGCAGGCAGGTCGATTCCAGGACTTTCCTGCCTGCTCTGTACTGTAGCAGAAAATCTGGCCATGACTGACTATATCCTAGTGATATAAGCAAAAAAATGCACTTTAATTCAAATGTATCCAGCACCTACTTTGGGAGGTAGGGTGGAAACCTGGAAAGGGCATAAAGTTGAGGCCAGAAAGACATGGTGTCAAATCCTAGCTCTGCTACTCACTGTATCCTTGGACAGGTTAGCTAACCTTTCTGAAGGACAGGTCCCTTAGCTGTAAAATAAGGATAATATCACCTATATCACAGGTTTCATTGTGAAGAGGATACGACATTACGTGTTAAGTGAATGATACATCATTTGGTTCACAGTAGCTACTCAATAAAGACAGTGTTTCATCTGGACATTTCCCACCCTAGAAAGCATGTGGTAAGAAGTGGTAAGAGACCTCTCGCCCTCAGAGTCAGGAGCAGACTCTCAGGTCTGAGTTCCATTTTCACACTGTTCTCAGCATCCCCTCACCCACTCACACTGCTCCTACTCCTTGCTTACTGGATCACCCCTTCGCACTCGAGGTCAGGAACTCCAGATTCTTTGACCGAGCACTCGCTCTCAGTACTCCAAAGACCCAGAGACCTTACCTCCTCTGGGTGAGGTCAAAATGCCTACTAGTGTGTGAGTCCCTCTTTACTCAGGAAGCCTTCCACGGACCACGGGCACCTGTTCTACTACTCGTAGCCACTGCTGGTCTATTGTGTGTACGCCCTGAATCTGCCGGTTCTGGAGAAATCTGTGCTCTGGGGGGACACAGACTCCCCTGCCACATTTGCTCTGAGCAGGACACATCAGGCCACCGAGACAGGGAAGGCTATGGTTTTTTTCAAACGAACGAAAGACATCCACACCAATGAGAGCTGCTCTGCAAAGCAGACAGACTTGCTCCACTCAGGGTGCCAGCCAATATTCAGACTCTGCCTGGAACCCTCTGAGAACTGATTTGGAGTCAACTGAATGAATTCACTTGTTCAACACACAGTTCGAGTGCCCAGCATGGGCCAGGAGCTCTGTTAGCCACTAACAACACAGACACAAGAAAGACAGCCCTCTGCGCCCCGGGTCCTGACCATCCTTCTAGGGCCCCACCACCTGGCAGGTGAGGCGGCCACAGCGGCAGCCTCCTTCACTGCCAGCACTGAGGTGCTGCCAGCAGGAAGCCTGGGAGAAAACAGAGAGAATGAAGGCTCAGGCCTATTTTTTCCCCCAGGAGTCATCTCCCAGTAAACAGGAAGGGGCAGCCAAATGAAAAAACCCCAATAAATTGCTGTGGTTCTTCACTGGGAGCAAGAGCAGCTCCCCGGGGAGGAGCACGCAGGGGTGGAAAGGGCTGCTACAGGCTTGCGTCAGCCCAGTTCTCTGGCCTCCACCTGCCTCATGCCGCAGGTCACGGAGAAGGGACTCACTCGCTCTGCAAGAGAGCCTGTCCTGTCTCGGGTAAGTGTATGTGCACACGACAAGTGCTGCCTCAGGCTGCTCTCATTTTGTCGCTGAATAATCTTGTCACCAGTGATCCATTTTTTTTTGGCTCCTTTGGCCTCATTTTATTGAAGTCATTAATGGGGAGATCAATATTTTCTACAGGGAAAGGGAGGTGGAGAGAGTCTGCCCTTAGTTCATCTCTTGTGAGACGAGCTCACAGGCAGCTTGAATGTGTGCCTTTGTGAGCAGGTACTGTGATGACAGGTCCCACAGGCAATCCTTCCTTCCACATGTTACATTTTGGCATCACTCCCTGAACCACTTTGCTCCCAGATAGTGCGAGAAGATGCCCTAAGACCAGGAGGTTTTACTGCCATACCTGAGGACCAATCTGGTGTAATATGTTTTTTAAACAGGACCCAAAGCAACAGACATCTGGAGGTATTAGAGAAAGTTCATTGGCTTTGGTAGTAGGAAACTGCGCTGTGCGTCTGGCTTCCAGACAGGCAGCAAGTCTACTTTACTGCAGACGAGACGGCCCATGTGCAGAGCCACAAAGCAAAGAAAATCCCATGCTGCCCCAGACTGAATGGTTCTCTTGTAAGCTTCTCTGGAACTCCCACACCCATGGTCAGTTCCTCTTTTCTCTTCTGACTTCTTAGGTTCAATATCCTCTCACTTTAGCAGAATTTGGTTCAGCAATTATTTGCGTTTTTTATGGGGGGTTCCTGAAAACTAAAAGGCTCTCAAGATCTAAGGAATGAATCTCTAATGGCAGAATATCAGGAACCAAAGATCCAGCGAGGAAGGGATTCTGGGCAAGAGAGGAAGCCTGCTGGTGAAGTGGGTTTCCTCACCTGTGAAACGGGAGTACCACTCCCCACTGAACAGGGCTTTGAGGAGGATTAGCGCCATGCTTGGCACACAGGTGTTCGATCCATGGGGGTTATTGCTAAGAGAAGCCTTTGAACCCCCAGGGCGGGCAGCACCTGGAGCTAGCCCTGCCCACTGCAGGCTCAGAGGCATGGCGGGGCCCCTCTGCAGACACTGAGGATGTGTCTTCAGGTCTGAGAGCACGTTCCCAGAACAACCAGAAGAGGCCTGCTTTTTGCAGGGCCTTCTCCATCACCACCACAAAACACAGGCTGCAGGAGAGAAAAGAAGCCGTCTGACCTTCATTCTACTTTGCTTAATTCCTTCTACGATCTGTTCCATCTGACGCAAAAACTGGTCCCGGGCAGCAGGGGAGGCCATGGCTCTGAAAGAAAGACCAGCAAAGGTAAGACCAGCACAGAGGACTCTGAGAAAGGGGGTGGCACCAAGGAATGAGCCCCATACCCAGGTCATGCCCCAAGTGGCAGCCAGGCCTTTGCAAGGCACCATGGACCCTGGGATCCCAGGCAGTTAGGGATCCCAAACTGAGGAAGGCATGAAAATTAGCCTGGTTTTTTAAATGAATGTGAATCTTTTTTTTTTTTTCATTCTCCCTACAATTTTCTTAACTGATCTGTATTTTCTTACAGTAAAATAAAATGTGACTAAAACTAACAAAAATATCTTTCACTGTGAAAGATGGCAGGTACTGCTTAAGAAATGAATTCCATTTAGTTTTTAAAAATTTGAGGATTTGAAGGCATTCCTCAAGATTGGAAGGCATATTCTCAGATTTTCCTAAAAGCAGGCTGGGAAAACCTAGTCCTGTTTCAAGAAGCAGCCGTTAAACAAGTGGATTCCCTGATGTCCTAAAACCCTTCCCTTCACCTCCCGTTCTGCAGGGGGAATGACGCCAGAAGGATGGGAGCACACGGATACAAAGGCTGAGAGTTCTTCCAAAGGATAGGCTGACGGGCAGAACTCACCACAGTAACACTCAAACTGCAGCCTCTCTCAATTATCAGGAAATAAAGATGAAGGCGCCACTTTTAGAAATGTCACAGGTTGCAAGTCACTAATTGAATCTTATCGGGGGCTGTGGGATTTTTGTTTGCTTTTAATTAGAAATGAAGCTTAAAATCTAGAGTTTCTAATCCATCAAGATCTTAGTTGCTGGTCACCTGCCAGGGGACAGCAGAGACCCTGTGCTGGAAGGAAAGGAAGCCTGCAACACAGAGAGCACGCCATGGGGCTGCCCGGATGGCAGGTCGGCCAACCGCAAGCTGGAGGGTTGCGATGATTTGGGGACAGCTGGGCCTTGCCATCCAAGTTTTGGAGAAAAAATTCATATCTGAATAAAGTAGTTTGGAGGATGCCTATTAACTTAAAAACAAAATCTACCGCAAGATTTTAAAAATTATATAATTTCATCATCTAAATATTAAAGTATCTTTAGTGCTCAAGAACAAATGCTGCTAATCTGATCTCAGCAAGACAAAAGGAATACAGGAAGAGATCATGCTAGTTAGGCAGAGGCAAGTTATTTGAAAGTTAACTTTTTTCCCTAAGATATTCCCTTGGTATTTTCAAAATTCACTCTAATATCATTGCGTTTTTGCAAGAATTCACGACCATGTAAAGCAAGACATGTTTGCATGCTGCAGGAGGGGTGGAAGTGTGAGAACCCCATGCTCAGCCCTGTCTCACTCAGCCACGCCACCGCAATGTGACAGTGAGCTGAATACCAAGTACGGGGCACCGAGGTAGTGACAGGGAGCAGGACCAACAGCACTTACTGTGAGAAGTTCTTGTGAATTGAGTTCAGCAGGCTAATCTGAGGAATAAAGAAAAAAACAAAAAACGATAAGCAAAAGGCTGAAAGGTCCTTGTGCCACCTCCACCACTGGAAGGTTGTCTCGTCTCTGGAGCCTGCTTCTGAAAGGAACATACCTTGTTTGTATAGACGAAAGTAACATGAGAAAAAAGAACAACGGGTTCTTAGCCCCACAGTATTGCCCAGGGAATGTAGGAAGAGGGCTCCTTGAAGGGACCTAAGACCCAGGTGGGAAGACGCTAAAATTAGGGCTCTGGGCTGCTGCCATGACAGCCCTTTCCATCTTGCCAAACACTGCACTTTATTTCCAGGCTATCAGCTTAGTGGAGGGTCAGCTGGGGTGGAGAGCGAGAACACTGTGCCCATCCTATTCTTTCCCACAGATCTTTTTGCCAATGTGGCCAGCTGCTGGGTGGATTTGAGAGCCTCTATGGGAAGGCATCATTCAAGGTCCCCATGCCCATGGAAACTGCCATAGCCCACAAAGTAGGACCCTCTATCTGCCCCAGTGGCACAGTCCAGGGCAAGGCTCTGAGACTGGAGTCTAGAAACCTAGGTCCTCTTTCTGGCTGTGTCACTAACTCAACTTGTGAGCTCAGGACCAAGCATTTACTACACGTGGGCCTCAGGTTCACAGTCTGTAACACGGAGATGATATTCTTGTCTTTATGACTCCACAGGGATGTTTGAAAGCTAAAGTATCACATACATGGATTTGGAATAAAATGCAAAGTTCTAACTGTGTTAATACGGCTTAGAATGAAAAAGCCCCCAGCCATCTGCACACTCCTAGTTTTTAAAAGGAGGCAACAACTTCAAGCACTGTTGAGGACGCCTGGTCAACGGGGTTCAAAGCTTTCTCAGAAGGGCATGGCCCCCTAAGTTAGGGGTGGCAAGTCTTCCCCGTGCCATGTAGGAAAACCCCAAGGACAGGGTGTGTAGCAGAGCCGTCCCACAGGCTGGACGTAAATCCCACCAAATGCACTCACCTCACCTGTTCAAACATTTATCAAATGCCTGTTATGTGCCCATCAATGTGTTAAGGCCCTGGATACAGAGAAAAACAAAACTCAACCCCTCCTTTCAAGGAGTGCCCTCTGGGAGGAGAGAGATTCATCTGGTTTGACTGACAAGAGGCAATAAAGGTGAAAGGAATTACAGATGCTTCCATTTGGGTTCAGGGAAAGATACATCTGTATTATTGCTCTTACTAAAGTGGTAAACAGTGCAGGTTGCAGGGCGAAGATCAAAGGAAAACAATCTCCGTCAACCCCAGGTGAAGGGGTGGGCAGGAACTAATACGTACTGAGAACCCCCACGTGCAAGAAACATCAGAGTCATTTTCTCCTTTACCTCCATCATAACCACGTGAGACAGATGTTATCTCCCTTTCACAGGTGAGGAAAATAGGGCCAGACTAAAACCCAAATCTGTCTGACTCCAAAGCTCATGCTCGCTCCGTTGCACGGTGCCGCCACCGTAAACACAGGACTATTGTTTTCTTGAAATCAACTGCACACCCTGCCCCATCATTTGTGGTCCAACCTGAGGGAGACCTGAATCATGAATGGACTTAAGCTGACTGAGTCAGAGCAATATGGAGGGGCTGTCAGTGCCCACAAGAACCCCTTTCAGCCCTGCTTTGAATTTTACAGTCTTTTTAATTCATGCCTCTGTCTGCCACTGACAGAGGATAAAACAGCTATTTTCCCCACGTAAACTCTAACGGCCCACAATCCCATTTCATCTAGCTGGTTCCTCCCTTTCTTTAAAACTCAAAGTAAAGTTTCCCCAACTCCAGGGCCCCCTCCACAGGCAGCGCTCCAGCCTCCACTGTTTCTTTTCATGGCGGCATTTCTCCCTCGCAGCATCAAACCGCTGTCCGCCAGTCTCCCTTCAGCCCGTGTAGTGTGAGCTCCCGGGCACCCTGCGCTCTGACTCTGTATCCCAGCAGCGGGCACACAGCGGGCGCTCCTTCCACTTAAATGGAACGCGTCCCAGACACCAAGCTCATCTGAGCTTCCCGGGGTCAACAGCACTGGCAGCCGCACGTCGGATTGTTTTCTTTCTATAAAGGCTCTTACCTCTTTTTCCAAATAGACCTTTTTATCGTCCAGGGTGTTATATAAAGTGAAGAACTGCTTGGTTTCCTTGTGCACTGCCGAAACTGTAAACACAAGGAAATTGGCACATGGATAAGGAAACGTATCAACATGACCCTAAACACCCTCCCCTCCCTGAGACACAGGGCAGGACTCGGCCCTATCAGGGCAGCGCTCACTCGGCTGTCTCGGTGGAGGCCCCACAGGGCACAAGCTGGGGCAGAGCTGGCACAGGCTGAGGGTACGTGGCCGTCATGACTGGCCCAGCCACGAGGGGCTGGAGGAACTTCCCTGTCGGTGTGTGGGGCAGGCGGTTTCTCAGCGTCCTTCAGGCGAGGTGTCCTGGGTGGAAGGTGGCAGTGGGGAGTAAGCTGCCATGCCGCTCTTCCTGTTGTGTGGCTTCCTCCCTTCCCATGTCCCTCAGAGCAGGAGCCCCAGCCTGCTCAATTTTGCAATCCCCGTGCTTAGCACAGGCCTATATGGCAGCCCCTCCAAAATATCTACTGGACAAATGACATGTCCACCCAAGGGCAGAAGATGTGCCTAATAATGTGAATTCTCTTCCCACCTGTGAGCACGTGAGGAATGGGGTCTTATTACCAGGTTCCCAACATCTTTACCTATAAAATTACTTTGCGTCTCTGTCCCCCCTACCCTTCGTCACTCTTCCCTACACAAGAATGACTTACAAGCAAAGAGCCAAATTCTAGCACTGTTTGTGTGCCACATTTACGAGGGAACGCTGTCCCTGGGGTAATGGGCTCCCATCCAAACGCATCCCTCTGCTTTGTGGCTGGGCGGATGGGCAGCCCCCATGTGGTTCTGAGCCTACGTGACTTCCTCACTGCTCTGACGTCCCATCATATACAGCTGCCCAGAGGGAGATAAAATCCCAAGACCTGGGTCCACTCTCAGGCTTGGAGCCCAAACTGAGCACTCCAGTTTAGCCATAGCTACAGATCCCAGTGCCTAACGGTTACCAGGCTCTGGTCAAGAATACAGTGGGGTCTGGTTTCCCAGTGGCTCTTGCTCCCTGAACGTAGGTTCCTCTGGAGCTGTGCAGCTCAAAGACAAGCAGGAGTTGGGGATATTTGCCATACATATTTGGTAACAGAAGTTAATAATCTGATATAAATATTTTGATGCAATAGTTAAAAACATTCCCAACATCAAAATGTCTAATTTGTATGGAAATCACTTCACTAACTACTCAATATAAAGTAGTATTATTGCTAAGAGCTTTGGAACAGTGGTACTCAATCCTGGTTGTAAAACCGAATCACCTGGGGAGTTTTTAAAGTCTTATGATCAATTAAATGAGATTTTCTGGAGGTGGGACCTAGGTGATTATAATGTGTAGCCAAAGTTGAAAATCAACGCCGTAAATAAACCAGTCAACTTGTAGCTTTATGGCCCAGGAATGTGTCTGTCACCCTTAGCCTATCAAGCTCAAGGACTAGGTGGGGGTTACAGATATTTGATGATTAAAAAACTGAAGATGACCAAGTTGGATTCTGAAGGAGGAGACAAAGTTGGACAGATGGACAGTAGGAGAGGGGGCTTTTGGAGCAGTAAATCCTTGACAGAAAAATTTTAAATCCTTGGGGCATCTTAACTGACTTCTACTTGAAGAGCGCAGCGTCTCCCCAGGAATGCCAAGCATCTACAAATATTCCACTTTTGTTTACACTGGAGCAAGGGCTAAAGTGCCAATCTAATTTTGTTCAACAATTTCAGATTAAGAACGTGCTTTCAAACCCACAGTGTGGATTAAGATGACGTATAGTGCAGATTCAATATTTTCTAATAGTTGACAGATACTCACAACTTTTACTCCTAGGTGAACCAAATTTAAATGTCATTCAAGAATATTAATCTGGTTCAAAACAGTAAATTCCTAAGACAAACAGAAAGTGATTACTTTAGCTAAAACTGTACACTTTTGTAATGAAAGAGACCCAAAAGGTTATCTACATCCCAACCTTCTTCCTAATACAGGAATCTCTCCTATATCAGCCCCCTCCCCCACCAAAGTATGGTCACTAGGCTGTCAATAATAGATTCCTATCTCATGATGGTGCCAGAAGTTCTCTCTACTGAACAGATGTCGGTTTCTGGCACCATGATGAACACTTACACTGAAAACAAGTAAACAGGAAATATAAAATATTTTTTTATAATCTTTTAAAAGATCTGTGAGCTAGCAAGAATGTAAGAAATCCTGGAAGGCCAAAAAGCCAGCGAAAGTGGAAATCCAGGAAGGTATGTGTATCCACTGAAGTTGGCTTTTTTCTTGAGTATTTGCCAAGCTAGGTGATTTCAAGCTTTGAGTTTTAGACTTCAACAACTGCTTTGCATAAACCTTGACACAGGTGTAGGAGGAAACAGATCTGCAATGAGATTTTGTAACAACAGATTGGCCTTCATGTAGTTAACAACCTAAATTCACACACTACGTAGACGGTCCCTGAACCCGCCAAGTCAAGACTATGTGCACAATGGACTTGGTCGTCTGCAGTTTTCTTCCCACTGTGACTGTCAGTGAACAGAATGTCACTTGAGCCAAAGTGCTTTAAAAACCTGTTTCTGCCTTCATCAGTCTAGTTCTTTTAGCTTTAAGGGTGACATGTGAAAGAAATGAAAACTTTAGGTTGCTTAATAAAAGGGATGTTTGAAAAATGGAGCAGTTAGCTTTCTGTCAACTAGGTTACAGATCTCTTCAGTTCCGCGCTAGAATGAACGATGTTATCTGTATAAAAATAACTTCCCATTAAACAAAGCAGTTTGCATAGCACCATCTCTTAAACTCAAAGGCAAATGGAGGAACTCACAAATTTATATGTACTTTGGGCCTGTTCTTGTGTATGTTACTCATTTTAATTGGGCTGGAGAAATGTCAAATACCGAAACGGCACTTAATATCCTGATATTAGTGTACATTAATACATTGCAGATGCAAATTTAAGGGACTCTGCAGAGCAATGAGAATTGCTCCCTAGCAATAAGAGAAAGGATTTTGAAAGCCCATGTGTGCTTCGAACATATACTGTCATAACGGAGATATAACAGTAAGTTTGTATGGAGACGTCAAGATTCTTCATGTGCACTGCAAGTATTTTCTCTCTGTTTATATGGCTCTTTGAGTCACCTGTCTAGTAAAAGAGTAGAATCAGAAAGAACTTTCCTGTCTCAGTGTTATATAAATGATGAGTGGGCCGATTCCATTGACTGGAGCTCAGTACTTATGAGGCTGTCCCAATCAATGATTGGGACCAATACATGATCCCCAGGTGAGCCGGGGTGTGCCCAAGTGCTTGTCAGAAGCAAAAGCAAATCCTCTCTGAAAGAACAGAGCTTCAACTCTTGGCCTCAAAGAATTTCTCTATTAATTTCCAAGGAATATGAACTCACAGTCAAAAGTCAAAATCACAGATGAAGTCAAAGTATCATGAGCAAAAGCCAGCAGAAACAGACAGCAGAATCAGACCTGAGAAGACTCACACGCTTATACACCATTCCTCCCTGCAGCAACAGAGACTAAGGGTAATCTCTCTTGCACATAACAGTCCGACTTATCTTACAGAAGCATCCACGGCTCTTTCCTCTGTCTTTTCTCTAACAAGATGTTGGTCCCTTTCACCATCGTGGCTGCTATCCTCTGGACATAAAAAAAATCACTTAGGAGCTAGGTTCAGCACTCCGGATGGAGTCTGAGGGCTGCAGATAGAGCAGGATCATCGCTTCGAGACCCATGAATTTCAAAGACCCATATTCACGTAACCTGCTGAGTCTAAGGCACAGCTCTGGGTCCTAAGGTGAGCAATACAGGATCCCTGCTCAGAATGCAATTACATTGACGAGGAGTGAAATAAATACAAAACACCCACTTTTACTCCCCATGAACTGCTCTCAGGTGAGATGGCATCCTCACAAATCCTGAATTGGTATGACTGATTTTTCTGAAATTAAACAAAATAGTTCACATTTACCTTCTCTAAAAAATGAATTTATTTGTTTGGGCTTGTAATTTCAATCTAACATGTTTTTGAATGTTAATTCTATTCTTCAATGTACTAGCCACCTTTTCTTTTCTAGCTTTAAATGATGTTCAAATCTGGCAAAGCTAATTCCTATGTCTTTATCCAAATTGATAAAGACCCTAGAAGGTATAGGTTGTGCTATGTGGCTTGAGACAATCCTACCAGGTTGACAACTCAGTAGCTAATACCATTCTCTCTGCTCTTAGTTATTGTATTGCATAACTCAGTCACTAAGAATTTAGGAAATCTTGGAGCAGTTTGGAAACACAAACATATTGAGCATTATTCTCTTCAGGTTTACAGGATTCCTTAAGATCTAAATTCTGATTCAGTTTTAAATCCCTTTCCCCACCTCTCTGTGTTTAGTTCAACAAACCTTTGCTTAGAGCCTGTCAGGTATGGGGCACAGTGAGCAGCGCTGGGGAAGGGGAAAAGACACAGACCTTCCCCCTGGACCCTCACAGTCTAGTCGGGGAAACCCAGCTCATTCACAAATAAAGGTGTTGCATCCTCCACATCTCCCCAAGCCTAAACTGTGCCACAGAGGAAGAGAGAGTTTTCAAAGCTCTTCTTGTTCCTTCTTCTCCCTCCCCTCCTTTCCTCCACAATGTTCATGAAAACCCATTGTGTTAGGCCCTGGGGGTAGACAACGATCCCAGCCCTCGTTTACAGCAGACATTCTGGTCCTGGAGACAGGCAGAGACAAATGAAACAGTGCATTGTTAGTCGTGCTAGAAGAAGACAGCAATGAGTTGATCCATACAACCTCACAGAAGAGCCTGTCTTCGGAAGAGAGGTCACCCTCCAGGATTACTGGGTGAGTCTGCACAGAGCCTTCCAGTCATCCACCAGCCTCTATGGAGTATTTATTCTACACTAGGCAACAGGGATACAGAGCTGAAAGATGAAATCTTGGCCCTCCAGAAGTTTACAGATTTAGGGCATGACTTATCTAACACCTGTGACTTGATGTGAAGAAACAAAGTCTAGAAGGAAGGGGTAAAACATCTACCCACGCCCTCACT